GGTGGTGGTGGTGGCAAGGGTTTCAAGATGAAAGATATTTCAACTAATCTCGACGGTGCTCAACGATGAAGCTCTTCGATGACGGTTGATGAACTTGAAAACTCTTGGATACAAAAAGAAATCGAGCAGATGGTACTAGGTACATTAAGCCGGGAAGATATGCTTATCTGATGCCTTATGTTGGGATGCAAGGTTTTTTGGGATAGCTGACTCGACCCGTGTCCGATACTTTTTCATCCAAAGTTCTCAGAGTCTAATTCTATTTTCCCCTATTGTTCTCTTCCTCTTGTGAAAAGCTTGCCGTCGCTGTGGCGTTTTGATTGAGCAGAGTTTAAAAGTTATCACTGCAGCAGACGCTCACCATTACAGAGTGTGTCTAAAGTAATGTTAAATATCCCACCCATATTTTTGGAAACCGCATTACCATTGATATATCCTAGATGACTGCAATCTGCTTAGAACTTGATACAGAAAAACCTGCAGAGACCATTCCCCCAACTCTATCAAAGAAAGATAACTATCCAAAGTCAATCATGTTGTAAAGCCGGGTGTGGCGTTTTGGAGTTTGACACATGAATTGCCTCCGAGTCTATCTCTCCAGAAAACACCCATATTGCTACCCTGTCGCCTCAAAGCCTTGATTTGCTTGTGAGCCACGTCTCAGTCCCAGTCATGTAGTGCAATCATGTTCCATTGGCTTAGTGTATTGCCTCGATTGCGTAAACTGATAAGCCCAAATTCAATGTCCATCTCAACGTCATGACTCCATGGAATTTGCAGGTTGGCAGGTTTGATTGAAAGACCTTGCTCATACAAGTTTACAACCAAGCGGTGTTGATTGGTGCTGTCAGTACCGTACATATATACCTCTGAGGCACGTCACGGTGCTAAGCATCAATGATCAATTACTTTGGGATGCTGCCACGAGTCAAGTCTTTCCAAGTATGAATGGCCAGAGGGAGCTAGGTGTTATTGGACAATCTTGCGTGGTTCCCGCAGCTTCCTCGACTCGAGTGGGAAGTCGCCTGCCCGAGGCCCCAAGTTCAACTTGAAGTCGTGTCAATAGTCTAAACGCCAAACAAGGAAAGCCACACCGCATCTCGGTCCAGAGCCTACCCCTGCAAACCCTGGTAGCTCACACCGGGACCTTCCGAGCTGGTTGCCACTAGATCCACGCCTTCCCCCGCATAGGAACCTGGTACTCCCAACTTCCTCTGCAAGACTGCGGACCGGTCAGCCCTGATACCTACCTATCTCGAGGATAGGTGGTATGCTCGGCGCCGTGACCCACGCAAGAGCGAGACTCTCAGAGAAAGGGAACCAGGCATGGAAGTAGTAGTGGAAAGAACTTCTTGTGCAAAATCATCGTCAAAATCACGCCGACGAATATCAATTTCAGGCTGCAAAGAAGGTCAAGAACACCTGAATATTATTGTTAAAAACATGTTTCGATTCTTCTTGAGTTCAAGTTATTGAATTTTCTGGTGATGATATCAGGAACACCGGTGGGTTATGACATCCACCTGTTTTTCTCTGCTTAATGTCTATATAGCCCGTTTAATCCCCCAATTTACTTGTTTTCAAGCCTGTTTAGCTCGTTTTTTCAACGTGTTTGATTCATTTTTATGCCTGCTGAACTTTGTTTTATTTATGTTTTGCTCTTGCTGAGACGTTCCCAAGCCCCTTTCCATGTATAGTTGGCATCCATCCCAACCTGCACAAGTAATTACTTCCCCCGTGTGCCCAGATACTCGCCACCGGCAAGACTTGACTTCCAGTCCAGAAGGCATGGTGGAATCGTATGTGACTTCTCCTGGTTGAAATGAGTACCTTCTTTAAATCCATCACCACGAGGCACCATATTGGAAGGCTGGATTGGGTGGCTTGGAGTCTGAAGGTCAAGAAAATTTCGACTCCCACTCTCTCTGTCTCGCAAACATCATCCACTGGCAGTTCTTGGTCTTCAACTACGCACTCAATTTTGGACTGTTATTATCTTGCATTACTGGTACCGAGATCCCATCACTACCCACGGCAGTCTTTCTTCTTTGGATATTACTAAAATGACAATCGACTTGTTTAATCTCGTATTTACCCTCGTGCTCGGGACCTTGTTTCTGGGAGTCCTTTGCACCTTCCTCAAGACAGAGGGTACCTCTTCTGCGCTATTAGAGCGCTGGCCGTACGATATTCGACACCTGCAGATAACCCTAATTCTTTTTTATTTTGGTCTTGCCCTGCTCAATCTACCCACGAGTCCCTGCCTCAGTCTCTTCATCGCCATCACATTCTGCAAAGGGCAAATCGACATCAGAAACCAGGAGACCGCACGACACCAGTTCCACGAGACGCACATTGTTTCTGTGCAAGGGGACGTCCATTCTCTGGAGGGCCGCATCGATGAGCTGAATCTCCGGTTGCAAGAGGCGGAACTCACACAGGCAGAGCACTCAGCCCACCTTGGAGTAATACAGCAAGAGAGCCCTGGAAAGTCTCATCGAAGTCGGAGTCTATCACACTCGCAGTCGTTTGAAACTAGACTTAAACACTTGGAGAAGGTCGTCGAGGACATACTCGCCCGCCGCCGAGAGAAACACAAAAGGCTAGATATAGAGTGCCCGTTGCCCAGGTCGAGCGACAGCAGCGACTCGGATCTACCTCAGATCAAGCTAAAAAAAGACAAGGCAGCCGTTACGAAATCTGAAAAGAAGAAGCCCATCTCTGATACCCAATTCGAGCTCGAAGCCCCTAAACCTCAGAAGGAGAAGCTTGGTCCTGACCTTGAGGAAATCTCAGAGAAGAAGTCCAACACAGGAGTGGAGGAAGCCAAGCTAAACACGAAGAAACCCATAAACTATTCGGCCATCGACCCGGACCACGACTTTTAGACTCGTATTGAGTGCATAAACTATTGGCAAACATTCTGTACAAACGCCTCCACCGACTTACACAATGCAGCAGGAGAATCTCGTCGTCTTCTTCACTTGGATGCTTCCCAGCTTGGTGTTTGGTCTCGCGGCCATCACCTACTACCTGGCCAGAGCGCCTCACCACATCCCTACCATCCTGGGCTTGATGCGTACCATGGTTCGAGCTTCCAATATGGACCTGTTTGATTTCGTTGGTCAAATCGTCCACTCTCCTGCTCGGATGCTCGTCCTAATTCTACTCCTAAGTATCTTTACCGACATTTGGCTCACTGCTGTGGGCAATGAGATTAGGCGGAAGCTTGTTCGTCGCCTTGTTGGGTATTGGAACAGACTGGGCAACAACTGGGTGAATCGAATTCGGAATCGGAAGGTCCGTAAAATCGTGAGGAAGATGTGGGTTGCTGGAGCAAGACTCCTTAGAGTGGTCTTGGAGTTTGGAGAGAACTTTGCTCGGGGGATGATTCGGTATCGGATGATGGTGAGACACCATGATCGAGATGTCATTGTGCCCTGGAATCAGGCTAGGTATGGTGTTTTGAATGGAGTGGAGTTGCAACAGATTGATGTTGGGCGGTTGCGTTGAGCACTCAACATACTATGGTCACTGACATGGAGGAGGTTATCAGCTTGGTGAGGATGGTTTTTTCTTTTCTTTACTTTTCTTTTCTTTTTTTTTTCTTTTTTTCTTTTTTCTTTTTTTCGTTTCTTCTTTTCTTTTTGAAGCGTTATTGTTATGGCTGATGGGATCAAGAGTATGACGGCGATGGAAGTTGAAAGGTCGGGATGCCGGTGATACGGATACTATTTCTTGCATGGAGTATGTTTATAACGATGGACGGATTTGTCTTTGCTTTGCCTCGGGGGCGTACTCGGTATACATATCATGTCAGCGAATGGGGATGAATGATGATTTGCCTGGAAGGTTTTCTTTTATTCGAATGTTGCTATTATCATGGGGACGGAGTTTGGGATCAAAAGGCGGAAAATGGAAACCCGGGGGGAAAACATGGAAAACAGAAGAGGACAAAAAACACACATGGAGTAACTGTAGCGGTAATTCTCGAGTAAGGATTCTGAGCAGACGTTCTACGGAACAGCGGATTTTGGGACTTTTGTGCTGGCTTTGCCCTGTCGGCACTGAATGTACAATGGTACATACACGTATAGTTAAGAAAACAATTTTGCACTACTTGTTGAGTCTTCCGTGCTTGTCGTTGTCGTCCGCGGTAATGCAGAGGAGGGTGTGGGTGTCTGTAATGATTTGTTTTAGGTTCGAACCTCTCGGCTGTTCGGATTACCTGAGCCAGGCTATTTCATCCTATCGCTTCAGTGTGGCCGTGATAGGTATACTTTGGCGTTTTTGTGACTGCAATGCCTTGCTTCCTGTTTCGGTAATTCTGAGGGTATACCCACCTGGCCTCAACATCAGTTGCGATGTCAGTTGGCAGGAAATATCAATAGTGACCACAGCTTCATTCTTAAATCATTTATCGTACTTTCTATTTTTTTTTAACTCTTGATTTTCTGCTTCTTCTCATCTGTTGCCCTGCAACTGATTTTTGAAGTTGAATATCGTCCCTAGCCAGCCCTAAATATGCTCCCTTCGAGCGCCAGGCCACGGGGATGCGTCGAGGCACTCACCCCACGGAGCTTACAAGCGCTACGTAGGTACTCCCTTTGCCATAATCATGAGTTGTTCCTTTCATTGGTTATGATCGCCTTGCCATGGTCGAACCAGGCCAACAGTGAGCACCCGGATTAAAGCAGTAGAATGAATGCTGTGGATTTGTAGGAAAATAACAACAGCAGCTTGCTTGCTCTATTTCCTGGGCCTTGACCTATCCCGCCACTTTATTTTGATCCGATTGAAATCATTTCTCTACGTTAAACTGCAAATTATCGCAAGATTTTTAACATGAACAATAATTGATAAACTGGAAACCAGTATATTCCGCGCCCTCCCAATGGAGATCACTTTCCTTGTTAATGCTGCAATCTAGTAATTCTGTAATTTCCCAATCCTGAGAGTCATTCCCGGCACTGAATCTCATCAAATGATACATACCCAAAGGCAAGATGGCCGAGCGGTCTAAGGCGCTGTGTTCAGGAAATTTCTTCCCACAGGATTTCTTGTGACAAAATTATCTCATTTCGCAGTCCGAAAGGGCGTGGGTTCGAATCCCACTCTTGTCATAATCTTTTGCTGGTTTTTTTTGGGACTGTGTATGTAAATGTGGGATGTCAGCTTCAGCTTTGCAGTTTTCATATACATATTTTTTATACAGAAATGATTTTTTTTCTTTGATGTTGAAGTGGGGTTGGCATTGGCACTTGGGATTGCTGTGTTTTTTTGGGACTGACGACAATCAGGAATATAAAATAATTTGGGGTCTTCTCCTGTTCAGTTGTTGAGCAGTTCTGGTTACAAAAGACTTTACGTCTGTACAGCTGGGGGATTCAGCGATGAAATTGATGAGAGGAATTCGGTCTCTTTGGTTATGTTGGGAGCATAATGTAAGGTTGTACAGCATGCCGTATGAATTGCGGTTATTTTGTTGCTTCTCCTGTTAATCCCCATTGCTGAAGCCCTTTTCTTGACTTTTTACAGGTTCCCCAAACATGTTCAGCCATCTGTTACCTTGCTCAAGAGGAGCACATCACATACATATGTCAGGCCTAAGTGATGTTGAAATCTGCTCAGTTCCGAACAAATGAACCTGGCAAGCTGGAAAGAAGCTAGGATGTTGATCTAAGCTTTAAGAGCTTGATGCAAAGACACAGAATTGAACTCACTCTTGCAAAGATGAACCATGAAAGCTTGGAGACTGTTCCTCTTGGCATTAGACATGTCCAATCACACCTCAGTATTATCAAAACCTCGGCCCGCTCCCCACATTCCCCATGGGAAACTGTGGCGTCGCCAGTGCGAAACGATCCCTGTTAGCGGTCCTCGGCCGCAGTGGACGGTTCGCCCTCCAAACGCCCAGAAGGGCGCAATGCAGCATGCAGCCCAGTCCAAGGAAGCAATGACCTCGGGACGGGAAGGGGAGGAAAACACCGGCAATGCAACTCCAGGAATTTGTGTTTTCTCCTTCACATGTCTTTTTTTTTTTTTCCCTTCACAAAACATAAATGATGAATTCGTACATTCGGCATAACTGCAACGACGGCAGAAACTTCTGATAATTGGACATCTAATATTAATTATAGCAGCGCCACATACTGATTCCCCGCGAGACGCCGTTCACACACCAAAAGAAACAAACACCAAACAGAAGCAATGCCCGCCGACGACCGCCACGACTCGGCGCCGGACTTGCGCATCCTGGGCGACAGGATTACGCTTCAGCCTAGCGGGTTCGTCGAGTCCCAGGTACCAAGCGACACGGGCAAAGATGGACGCGAGGAGGCCCTGATGAAGAATATGGCCCGCTTCCGGTCGGAGCCGTTGCGGTATGTTCTTTTTCCCCTTTCCCTTTCTGCTTTCCACCACAAACACCACGACCGACTTTCTTCTGTGTGAAAAAAAGATGGCATCACCTCCCGACGGCTCCCTCCCCTCAGCAATCTCCTTCGTCCCCTCAACTGACCCAACATGGTCCAGATTCCTCCGCGAAGTATCCCTCTACGTCTCGGGAACAGGCTGGCGTGCCTACGACGATGTAATCGGTCAACCAATCTTTTACAAGGGCTTCTCCGACCACATCAAGGGGCTTGTAATGTCGGCCACTTTACTCCAGACAAAAATCTCCCAGTTGGCCGACATGCGACTCGCCATAGAGGAGAAGGAGGGGTTGCTTGGAAACAAAGACGACGAGAGCCACTTCGTGATAAAACGGGCGAAGCGACGCGCCGTGCTCGTGCAGAGCTTACAGGAGGTCGCGGAGCAGCTGACTGATAACATGATTTGCAAGTTTGAGAGCAAGACGTTTATCAGGGGTGCTTATTACATGGTTACGCAGCTGTTGCTGCGGGCTTACCACCAGGGTATACACGTGAGCAGCGAGGAGGTTTTGAGGCTGAGGAGGGTGGCGGAGGAGGCGGAGAGGAAGAAGCAGAGCATCATCTTCCTGCCTTGCCATCGGTCGCACGTTGATTACGTTGCGCATCAATTGCTGTGTTATCGGCTAGGGTTGGCGCTGCCTGTTATTGTCGCCGGAGATAACTTGAACTTTCCTCTGGTGGGGAGCTTCTTGCAGCATGCGGGGGCGATGTATATCCGGAGATCTTTTGGGGATGACCAGCTTTACGGCACGTTGGTGCAGGCTTATATTGATGTTTTGTTGCAGGGTGGGTATAATATGGCTTGTTTTATTGAAGGAGGCAGGTCGAGGACGGGCAAACTGTTGCCGCCCAAGTTTGGTATTCTGAGCTTTGTGTTGGACAGTTTGTTAAGTGGGAGAGTGGAGGATGCGGTTATTTGTCCCGTTTCGACGCAGTACGATAAGGTTATCGAGACGGAGGGTTACGTTACCGAGTTGCTTGGTGTGCCGAAGAAGAAGGAGAATTTGGCGGATTTCTTGTCTGGTGGATCGAGTGTGTTGTCGTTGAGGCTGGGTAGGGTTGATGTGAGGTTTCATGAGCCTTGGAGTTTGAGGGGCTATATCGATGAGCAGATCAATAGGTTGTCGAAGGTGCCTTCAGCGATTAACATTGACTGGAGGGATACGCAGAACCAAGTTGTCAGGCAGAAGCTGTTGAGGAGCTTGGGGTACAAGGTCTTGGCGGATATCAATGATGTGTCGGTTGTGATGCCGACTGCTCTGATTGGGACGGTATTGCTTACGCTCAGAGGCCGTGGAGTTGGGAGGGCAGAGTTGATCAGGAGAGTTGAGTGGCTGACTGACAGAGTCAAAGCAAAAGGAGGCAGAGTTGCACATTACGGGAACGCGCCATTGTCAGACGTTATCGAAAGGGGCTTGGAGGTGTTGGGCAAGGACTTGGTCGGCGTGGTAGAGGGCCTGGCTGAACCGACGTATTATGCGGTGGATCGGTTCCAACTCAGCTTTTACAGGAACATGACGATTCACTTGTTCATCAGTGAGGCATTGATTTGTGCGGCGCTTTATACCAAGGTCAAGCAAGGAGGTGGGCCGTCAATCCAGGATATCGACTTCGAGGAGCTGCATGACCAGGTATTGTTCCTGTCGTCACTTTTCAGGGGCGAGTTTATTTACTCTGGAGAGGGCTTGGCAGCGAACTTGGAGAAGACATTGGTTGGTTTGGAGAGGGATTCTGTAATCTTCATCGAGAGGGAAGAAGGCACAGGGAGGATTACGAAGGTTGGGTTGTCGGATAAGGAGAGAGCGGCTGGTCGGGAGAATTACGACTTTTACTGTTTCTTGATCTGGCCGTTTATCGAGGCTAGCTGGTTGGCTGCTGTTTCGTTGCTGGGGTTGACGCCTCCTCTGGGCCAGAAGGATGATATCTGGATCCAGGTGTCTAGGGCACAGGATGGCGCTCAGTTCGTAAGTCTTTCACTCTCTCACTTTTCTCCGTCATTCGGTGACTAATATGTGTTCGCAGCTCGGAAAAACCCTCTACCACCAAGGAGATCTCTCGTACTTTGAAGCAGTCAACAAGGAGACCATCAAGAATTCTTACCAACGATTCGAGGAAGAGGGCATCATCCAAGTCGTCAGATCCACCAAGAAGGACTCGAGAGTTCCTCCGCGGTTGAGAGTAGCCCCCGAATGGAGGCCAAGCAGGGATGAAATCACGGGCAACCTTTTTGCATCTGGTCGCCTGTGGGATTTCACGGAGAAGATCGCCAAGAGCAGGAGGGAAGGCAAGAACAGACGTGATGGTGCTACAGTCAGTACAAGGGTGGTGAAGCTTACAGATGAGTTGGGACAGAGGTTATGGGAGGAGGCTGTCAAGGGTGTCGACTTGGGGAAGAAGGGCAAAGGGAAAGGTGGCGTGGCGCCGGCTAGGTTGAGCAGTGAGGAGGAGAAGAGTTTGAGCAGGAGTGTCAAGGAGCAGAAGAGACGGAGGAAATTGGAGAATAGGGCTCATTTGTGAGTGAGGGGTTGATGAACGTGGGGGGGGACAGGACGGCTTGAAAGGGAACAGAAACCGGAACGTAAAGACAGAATGGACGGGAGGTTTGTACATATATACAATACAGGACATGTATAAAGAATTATAGGCGGCCATCGTATTAGAACGAATGAAGCGATCAAATGCAGATAACTCCTTGTATCTTCCTGTCCAGAGTAACGATAATTTGGAGATCAGAAATGGTCGAATGATATAAAGGAGATTTTGAACACACATCATGTCTTTGCTTGGAACTGTTGAGGCCAGCTGGCTGCAGGCAGGCCACGCCAGATGCCACTGCGGCGAAGCAAGCACCTTGTTTGGCCACAACCGACCATTGTTAATTAGCACCTGGCATCCAGAAGCTGAACTTGCCAACGAATCAGTAACAACCTACTGTACCACAGCCTTCAAACTTGGAACCACCCGACCTTTGGAACCCAAACATTGAGTTCAAGTCGTCCAGCATTTTCTTGGGTCAACATGGCCCATATCCCTTTTCTACAGCTGATCAGCTGGTTTATGGTTATTCTTTTTTCCCTGTTCTGGGAAACAGCGTCACGCAAGAAGAAGTCATTCAAGAGAACTAATAATTCTGATGTTGTTCTAGAACCAATCACTGCATTTATCCTTCATCATTCACTTCTGACAATGATTGGACGCCAACCGAGGGCGAGCACGTGAATCCGATGCCTGGAATCTGCCTTTCTCAGTTGCTTTCCAGCCTCACCTGCGGACCGGCCATCGGCCTTGATTTATCACTAATCCATCATCCTCGACAATGGACCCTGTCACGGCTATCGGACTAGTCTCGGGTATTTTGTCATTCATCACCTTTGGCGCCAAGCTTATTCAGGCCGCCGTCAAGGTACATCAGGCCTCTGACGGTACGATTGAGGAGAACCGCACGCGTCAAGAGGTGACTGAACATTTGAGAGCTCTATCGGACGACCTGATACCACCGAACAACTCCGAGTTTTCTGACAATGATCACGCCCTATGCCAACTAGCTAAAGAATGCCGCTCGCTGTCCGAGCAGCTGATTGAGCTACTTGAAAAGTGCAAGCCCAAAGATGGGTCAATGAGACAGAGCTTGTTGGCAGCACTGAAGAGCAAGACGCTGGAGAAGGACATCACAGATTTGGAGAAGCGAC